AAACCCCCCCAAGCCCGAAGACCCAAAAACTAGAGCCCTCGAAGTCCGAATGCCCCTCCAAAACCTGAAAGGCCCAACGAAACCGTCGGCCCTTAGCATCTAGAACCCTGAGCCCTAAACCCTAAACACTAAACCCTAAACCCTAAACCCTGAACCCTGAACCCTAAACCCTAAACCCTAAACCCTAAACCGCAAGAAGCGCCTTTTTGCCTCTGCCAGGTCTTTGACTCCACGGCATCTGTGGAGGCTGCGGAGAGGGGGAACCTGGGCCTCAAGACCCGAAGCCCAAACTGCGAGGGTTCAGGGGTTGGTTTAGGGCTTAGTGTTTTAGGTGTGGATTTTAGGGGTTGAGGTTTAAGAGGGTTGAGGGTTGAGGGCTTGCCGGGTCGATGGTTCAGGGGGTTGAGGGGATTATTGGGTTTAGGTGTGAGGGCTTTTGGGCCTGAGGGGGTTTAGGGGTTTACGGGTAAAGAGGCTCTGGCTTGGGGAGGTTGAAGGGCTTAGGGTTTAGGAGGGTTAGGAGGTTCAGGGGGTTTAGGCTTAAGGGACAGGTTCCCCACACGCCGCGGTCCAAAGCACGCGTCCGCCTCGGTCGCGGCCACTTGGACGCGAATCGTCTATCAAGGACACACAGATCTAAGGCCCTATACTAGGACCCAGACTGAAACCTTGGTTCTTTTTTTTTTGGGTTTAGGGTCCCTTAAAAGCCGCATTCAACCAAAAGGTAACTCTTTTTGGGGGTTTCGGTAAACCTTCAGCCACCCAGTGGTCTTCGTGTTGCCACTTCTTGCACATCGTCCGCGGCGTTCTTCGTCGGCAGGTTCGTCTTGTGGCACCCCGCCTATGCCCACAGCCACGTATATGCAATGTGTGTGTGTATGTATGTATGTATGTATGTATGTATGTATGTATGTATGTATGTATGTATGTATGTATGTATGTATGTATGTATGTATGTATGTATGTATGTAGATATGTAGATATGTATATATATATATGTATATATATATATATATATTATACATGTTGTTTGAGTATGTCTGCCAGCTCTGTAGGACCCAAGCTCTGAACCCTGAACCCTGTGAGCCCACGCCAGTCTTCCTACATAAACCCTATAACAGGCCCCATAAAATCCGAAAAGCCTAGCCCCAAACACAGGTCTAAACCCTCTAGACCCTACGAACCCACTAAAGGCCCACACAAAAAGCCCCAAAGTCCAGAAGTTAAGCGGGTGCCGTGGAAGGTGACAACGGAGAAGTTCCAGTCGCAAGATTTCCCAGGACCGCCAAGGGCCTAGGGTGGGAGGGGCACTGAAGGGCTTTGCGCCACCCCCGAAACAGGGAGCCTTTCAGGGTTCAGGGCTTGGGTGTAGGGTTTAGGCCACAAAAACACCACTTTCAACTACGAAATGCCAAGTGCCAGTAGTACAGTAGTGGAGGGCTTCCGTGCTACACGCTAGCAGCCGACAAGTGTCAGCTTCGAGGTTTAATTGCAACACCCCTGAACCATTAAGCCCCCCAATCCCAAAACCCTAAGCTCCAATCCCTCAACCCTAAACCCTCTACCCTCCAAACCCTAGCGAATCTTGCCGCGCAAGGGGTCATTGAAGTCCGACGCCGCCACTACTTCGATGCGGTGGACTCAGAGCCATGACCACCTTGGCATTCGTGTTATGTAGGGCACTTGGGGTCTAAGGGTTTTGTGTTTGGGGGTTCAGGGCTTAGGGTTTAGGGTTTAGGTTTAGGGTCTAGGGTTTAGTTTTAGGAGAGGGCACCTAGATCGAACTCCCCCTACTAGCAAAAACAAGCAGGTTGATGCAATTAGATGCGCGATCGCAGCTCAGGGCCAAAGGCCGCACCGGGGTTGAATGAATGCAGCTGTCTCAATGGGTAAACAACATGTCTCCACCTTAGGTACCCATTCTAGTCAAATACTCGGCCACTATAAACTCCGCGATATTACTTCGAATCCGGCTTCACTGTTTCGCTGAGGCTGCTGAGTGCTACTAACATTTTTAGCCGAGGCCGTTGTGAACCAAGAGGCAGGGCGATCGATCCTGTCTGTGCCTGAGCTGCCCTGTGCCATGGGACATAGTGTTGCAGTATCGCAACTATGGTCGGAGAATGTGCTTGCCTCAAGCTCAACACCAGGTCCTAAACCCTAAACCCTAAACTCTAAACCCTAAACCCTAAACCCTAAACTCTAAACCCTAAACCCTAAACCCTATAAACCCTAAGCCCTAAATCCTGGTCTTAGGGCCTCAGTGTATGCCTGAGGTCGCAGATCGGTATCCCCGGCGAGCGGCCGTTTCAAACCTCGATGCTGCCGGCAGACGACATGCCAGTCAGCTCAGGAATGCCAACAACGAAAGCCACAAACGCATCTGTTAACGTGGTTAGTTCCCAAAATTGGGGTACACCGTTTACACCCGAAAGAGAACGGGAACCCTAAGCCCAAAATTTGAACCTTAAACCCTAAACCCCAAGCATAGATGGAGCCGCGGGTAGCTGAACAACTCAGTTGGGGTGGTTGCGTTGCTGTTATAGACCTTATCGTGAAGTTTCCAGATGTGGGACCTTGCTCTTTGCTACGTATATAGATATACACTCACACATAATAGGTTTATGAATGTCTGTATGTATGTATGTATGCATGCATATGCTCATACACACTTTCTATATACAGGTATGTGCATATACATATATATATACATACACATATATTCGTGGAACTTACCCGAAGCTTTAACCACACCAGCAAGGACCCTACAGCCCCAAACCATGAGCTTAAAACGCTCAAGCCGAAACCCTAGAACCCTGAAGCCCTTCAAGCTTTCAAACACCCTAGAAGGCTGAGAACAGGCCTAGAACCCTTAAACCCCCAAACCCTGCAAGCCCTGCTCTAAGCAAATCCTTGCAGCCTGGGGAAAAGGCAGAGCAGGGCACATAGTGGAACGTCAATGCTGCACCCTTATCATGGTTCTTATCATGTGTTGTTCATTGCTCTTTTATTTTCGATATCGTAGTTCTTAGTGGGGGACTATGACTTGAGATGTTCCCACTTATACGAAGGGCTGTTAGTATAAGGGCGAACATCCCAATTTGTTATTACTATTCTGGGTAATTGCTGTGAGGGTCTGGGAGTCCAGTGGGCCTGGGAACTCCCTAAAGCCGTGTGAGCCGCTAGTGCAAGGGGGTTTAAGGTTGAGGGTTTATAGCCTTCAAAGGTTTTATAGGGTTTATAGGGTTGAGGGTTGTTTTGGGTTTTTGGGTTTTTGGGTTTTAGGGATTCAGGGTTTCAGGGTTGCAGGGTTTACGGGTTAAGGGTTTAGGGTTTAAACCCCCGACCCCCAAATGCTCTCGCCATCTCCCGCCGAGTTTGTGGGTCTGGGCAGAGGAGGAGGACTGCGAGAAATTGGGGGTGGAGGCTCGCATAAGTGCGGTTTTGAGGGAATGGGGGGGGTTCAGGGCTTCAGAAACCCCAAACCCCAAATTCAAAAACCTAAACCCCAAGCCCTAAACCCCAAACCCTGAGCAGGTGGTTCCAGAGTTCACAGCCATTTGTGGGAGGGGGGGAAACAAACCCTAAACCTGAAATAGGATATAGGGGCCTTAATGACTAGAATGGGGGTTTAGGGTTTAGGGCTAAGTCAGTGTCGCCAGAGCAGGAAGCTTCATCATGGGATTCTCCACGACTGCACTGCCTGAGAGCATCCCTAGTCAACCAGGAATCGCCATTGGGCCTTCTAATCCGCATAACCAACCCAATAAAGGGCAATTTTCAGAGGTTATTGGGCATACTAGCCCATCCTAGAAGCCTTAAAACCCTCAGCTCCGGAAGCAAGAAGAAGGAAAGGTGGGGTGCCAGTACTTCCAAGCTGTCCAGCGTGTGGCTTCCTCTAGCCCCACCACCCTAAAACCCTTAAACGCTATGTAGGCAGACTCCCCCCTAAGGGTCCATGTACTATATGTCCTGTATGCTTGGGCCCTACAGCTACTTTACAGGAACTCGATTCAGGCCCAAATGTATACCAAAGTACATGGACCCTTTCGTTCCTTTTTTTGGGCCCGAAAGTCATCGGCGAACACTGCGCATGGCATGGAAGGCATGCCAGAGTGCCGGGAAAACCGAAAAACGCCGCTGATGAGTTCGTAGACCCCTATGTTCTAGGTAGGCTAAGGGGGACCCTTCAAAAGGCGACCCTTCTTAACCCTCTCCTGGCTCTCTTAAACAGGGGCCTTATTCAGAGGGTCTATATCCCCAAGGGTCCCCCTAATCCTATCCCCTACTATGTAAACTCTAAACGCCCAAATTTTATCCCTCAAACTTTAACGCTAAACTCCCTAAACCCCAGACCCCGGACCCTATATAGGCCCTGTGACTTTGCAGCCAGGTTTGCGTCGAGCCCCTTCAGACAGATCCGATCCTGCGCAAGTTCCGGGCAATTCCGGCCTGGAGACCCGTGTGGGCTGCTTTTGCACAGCATGGCTCGACGCAAGCCAGTTAAGTGTTTAAGGGTCCAAGGGTTCAAGGGTTTAGGGGTTTAGGGTTTAGGGTTTAGGGTTTACGCAAGGGTCTAGGGGATTTAGGGTTTTAGGGTTTTAGGGGGTGAATTGCGGGTTCAGGGTTTTGGTTTTGTCAGGTTTTTGAGGGTTTCGAGATTCGGGCTTTTCCATGCTTATATTTGGAGCGGGCCCAATTTAGGGCTCAGGGTGTGAATCTCAGGCTCGTGCCGCTTTGACTGGCCTTCCTTGGAACCTTCCCTCGTCCACATTAGGCTACAATCTCAAAGTGCAGATGAGAGGATGCTTTGGTTAGCCACCCTAAGCTTTAAGCCCGAAACCCAAAACCCAAAACCCTAAACCCTAAACCCTAAACCCTAAACCCTAAACCCTAAACCCTAAACCCTAAACCCTAAACCCTAAACCCTAAACCGCAGAAGCCGAGCTGCTCGAGATCAGAGCAACCCATCTTCAAATTCGTTTTGAGACAGTCGGCCGATGGACCTGGATGGCCTGCTGTCCGCGAAACTCCGTCCGAATGTAGGGTTTAGGGTTTAGGGTTTAGGGTTTAGGGTTTAGGGTTTAGGGTTTAGGGTTTAGGGTTTAGGGTTTAGGGTTTAGTCCTGCTTTTGAGTATTCTTAAGCTCTTGAACTCTAGACCCTAAACCCTGGACCCTAAACCCTAGCCCTAAACCGAAAACCCCAAACCCTAAGCCCTCAAGGAAGCCCGTGGCAGACCTGGACCCGGCGGTTCGCTCCTTCCTGGCCCAATCGTTAGCCGAGGCCGAGGCTGCTGATGTGCCGGAAGTGTTCCTTGCGAATTGAATGATCGGCTTTTGTGTGTGTTTGTTGTTTTTTTGGGGTAGGGTTTAGGGTTTAGGGTTTAGGGTTTAGGGTTTAGGGTTTAGGGTTTAGGGTTTAGGGTTTAGGGTTTAGGGTTAGGGTTAGAGGTTTAGGGTTTAGGGCTTAGGAAGCTGGAGAGAGATGCGGACACACTCTTGCCTTTTCATGGCCCGCAAGTAGGGATATTAGGGCACACCCCTGTAAACCCGAAGCGCAAAACCCCCCAAGGTTGGCTCCCTTCCTGTCCGACGCCGGGCTGGGTGGCGAGGAGGAGGCGAAGGCCCTCTGCGAGCGCTTTGCGCTCGCCTCTAAGGATTCGGCGCCCGCTGCCGCGCCCTCCGGCGGGTACTTGCCAGCACAGGCGCTTGGGTCGCTGTGCCCAAAACCTGTGGCGTCTATGGATGTCCAGGAGGAGAAGCCGGCTCTGCAGCCTCTTGGAGAAGCGCACGTGCCCGCCGAGAAGCCGGGCGCCGGCGCAGGCCGGAGAGGGGGTGGTGCTGCCGCGCGGCGTGCCGCCCAGGCTGCGGCGGAGGCTGCCTTGGCCCCAGGTGCAGTGCTCGAGTTCGTCTCTGAGGCGGCTGCTGATGGTGCGGAAGTGGCCAAGGCCTTCAAGAGCTGCGTGGAGCTCCGCGCCTGGATGCAAGAGGCATCTGAGCATGCTGCCGTGCTGGCTGCTTCCTTCCAGGCCTACGCAGAGGACCAGCAACCCGATGCCCTGGAGGCCTGGTCCGCCCTCCTCTTGAACTGCATGGAGGAAGCTGGCGTGGCCGCCTGCCTTGCTGAAGACGAGAGCTTATCCGCAGTCGCGCAGAAGGCCAGTGTCCAGCTTGTGAAGCATGGGCTCCTGCGAGTCAGGCGGAAGATCTCCGAACCTTGAGGGCTAAATGAGGCTAAACGAACCCTAAAAAGTGTTTGTGGCCCCCAAGAACCTCACCCTCACAGGGTAAGTTATCTCAATTTCAAGTTATCCCAGTTTCATGTTGCACTTGGTCGCAAAGGAAGTGGGCGATCCCGTGTGGGCCTTCTTGCCCGAGGACCAGGAGTGGCATCCTGCCGTGGTGGATGCGATTCTGCCCAGTGGGCGATTGAAGCTGATCTTCATCGAGTACGGCAAGCCACAGGAGGCCGAGGAAGAGGAGCCTTAGTGGAGACTTCCATTACCTCTGACATGGCCCCTGTACCTTAGACCGCAAAACCCTGTAGGATTACGGCGGTGTGCGGTAAATGATCACAATTTTCGGGTCTGTTTGGTCCCTAAAAGGAGGTGCGAGCCTTGGCGGAAGTGGCGGACGAGGGCGACGCCGGCGAGGGTGAGTGCCAGATGTGCGAGCGGGATCTGAAGCTGACGTTCCACCACTTGATTCCTAAAGACAAGCACCCGACTTACCTTGGCAAGCGCTTGCCAAACGGCATAGAGGGTGAACCAACCCGATCCTTCTTGAACACCTATGGCTTGATGATCTGCCGCCAGTGCCACAACACGGTGCACAGCATTGCAAGCAATGAAGTCCTGGCTCTCGAGTACAACACCCTCGCAAAGTTGATGGTGCATCCTGTCATCCAACGCTGGGTTGACTTTGCGAAGAACCGAAAGGCGAGCAGCGGAAAGTCACGCTGAGAAAACAGGGGCGCATCGGGCACGCTTGGGAGCGTGTGTTTCAGTGCTGATAGCCGTAGGAAGACCCAATGGGCATTCTAGACTACACCTCGGCCTCTAAACTAAACCCTACAACCACAAGCCCTACACAACAAAAGCCCAAGCGCCCAGACCATTAGAACCCAACGCCCCCGCAAGGATGAGACGCATAATCCCTTTACAGCAAATTCCTCTGTGAGGTGCTGGGATAGCCCATGCTGGTCACCTTCAAAGCCCCTAAACACTCTGAACCCACTAATTAAACCCTCTAACATCTCTAAACCTAAACCCTAAACCCTAAAATGTAGCCCCTAAACCCGAAAACCTAAACCCTTACCCCGAAACCCTTAACCCTGAGCCCTAAACCCTAAACCCTTGCCCCAAAATCCCAAACCCTGAACCCTACCCCCTTCCCCAAAGTCCGGAAACCCCTAAGGCTTGCACTCTGAGGCAAATCAGCTACGCGGAGCGCCTCTGGAGGAGCTCCTGAGGAAATACGGCCGGCACCTTTGGAGGGTTTTCCAGATTTAGGGTTTAGGGTTTAGGGTTTAGGGTTTGGGGTTTAGGGTTTAGGGTTTAGGGTTTAGGGTTTAGGGTTTAGGGTTTAGGGTGAGACATGCTAGGGCTTCGGTGGTGTAGAGTTAGAGGGTTTTGCAGGGCTTCTGGGGTTTTATGGTAGGTCCGACTGGAGCTTAACCAGGTGTAGGCCTAAGGTTAGTTTTATGGATGCGGAAGTTTCCTCCAATAATTTCCATGGCAAAGGCTCACCCATAGTCTGCGAAGTCCTGTGAAGACTTAGCTGCACGCAAGTGCATGCATGAAGGGATAACTCAAGAGGAGACGTGTGCAGTTTATCTAGCAGTTGTCTGTATTTCCAACGCGTCGTTATGTTGAACAAATGCCCTCCCCCGCGCTCTCTCTCTCTCTCTTTCTTATTGTGGTCTTTCTCTTTTGGTTTGTCAGACTATCAACGCTACAAGCTGTAGAACCCTGAGCCCTCAGCCCTAAAACCTAAAACCTAAACCCTAAACCCTAAGCCCTACACCCTAAGCCCTAAACCCTAAACCTTTACAAGCTCTAAGACTGCCAGCCGAAGCCCTTCTCGCCCCTAAGCCTAAGGTCCAGACCCTAAACCCTAGACCCTGCATTGAAAGCGCTGAACCCTCAACCCCAAGACCCCAAACCTTAAACCCTATAAACCCCAGAAACCCTAGAAACCCTATAAACCCTAAAAACCCCCAAAAGCCCTAAGCCCCGAGGCCCCCAACCCTAAACCCCCAAGGCCTGCCACATCCCAAGGCTACTCGCGCCCATCAACCCTATAAACTCTACAAACCCTGTCAACCCTATAAACCCTAATCACCCTATCAAGCCCTATAAAGCCCTAAAAACCCCAAAACACCCAAGGCTACTCACGCCCATCGGCTCGCGTCTCGGAACGTCCCCCACGCACCGTCGCACGCTTCGCACGGAAGCCTGGAATCGGCAGTTGACGGGCTTGGTTTGGGGTTTGGGGGTTTCGGGGTTTAGGAAGGGTCTGAGGGTTTAGTGGGAGGGAAGGGTTTAGGGGTTTGAGGGGTTTCAGGGCTTGAGGGTTTAGGAGTCTCAGGGTTTGAGGGTTTGAAGGTTTGAGGGTCTGGAGGTTTGGGGTTTGGGGGTTTGAGGGTTTGAGGGTTTGACGGTTTGACGGTTTGAGGGTTTGAGAGTTAGGGATTGTGGGCTTGAGGGTTTGACGGTTTGACGGTTTGGTTTAGGGAATGGCTCTGCAAATACACTTGCCAAGCATGTAAGGAGCTTGGCACGCATGCCGCTATCTGAGGTTTAGGGCCCCGAGCCACAAAACCCTAAACCCCAAACCCCAAGCCCCAAAATCCCACCAGTTTTCGCAGCAGGGCTTGTAAAAGTGCGCATGAAGCCAACCGGCGACAGCAACCACCCAACCACAAGCCCCTCGCCGTGTCTAGGCGGGCGAAGTGGCGCGGGGTCAGCGTGCAGCTTACAGAGCTCAGGGTTTTAGGGTTTAGGGTGTGGGGTTTAGGGTTTGGGGTGTAGGGTTTAGGGTTTAGGGTTTAGGGTTTAGGGTTTAGAGGAGCTTGGCATCAGGACCCTACCTGTGACTGTAGCCTTATCAGCCCTACACCTTAGCTTAGCCTGGCACAGATCCCGCAACAACTGGGGAGAGGAGTGTGGTCATTGGAGGACCGCACCCTACACCCATGGCCCCTAAGCCTTACAAACCCTAAACCCATGGCGGCTTCCGGAATGCAGGCATAGCACCCAACACCTCGCGGGTTTCGTGTTTGGGGTTAGCACAGTGTTTCCGAGATTTCGGGTGCTTGTTGGCCTGAACCTGCACCCTGTTTTGTATGTCCTCCTCCCTCTCAACAGCCGAAGCCGATTTGGAACCTCATTTTTCTGAACTCCACCGGGAGCCTCCCGAAAAAGAGAGGCCCGGCAGTTGATTTAAAGCCGGGCAAACTTGCCTTATCGAGGGGGGCCCAAGACTCAAGCGTATGCAACTTTATGCAACAGCAAGACCTAAACCCTCACCCTAACGCCTAAGCCCCAAGCCGCAAATCTTATGGATCCCAAAGCCCAGTGTGGCGTTCCGGGGTTGAAGGGGTGCCGGCATCAGCCCTTGCCCTGTCGAAGCCATATAGGCCCAACTGGTTCGAGCTTGTTTCGGATCGAAGGCTTCAGGTTTCGATGTTTATTGTGTAGCGTTTAAGGCTTAGAGTTTAGGGTTTTAAATGCTTCTGGTTTAGGGTTTAGGGAACCCTGACCCTAACCCGAGACCCTAAACCCTAAACCCTAAACCCTAAGCCCAAAGCCCTAAGCCCTAAGCCTTAAACCGAGCCCTTCCGGAGGCTGCGCCTCTGGGAGAGGCAAGCGGGCACCGGAAGGAGGCCTCGGCCAGCCACGGAAGATTTGGGTTTTAAGATTTAGGGTTTAGGGTTTAGGGTTTAGGGAAACCCCTGGTGGACCTGGTTTTAGGGTTTAGGGTGTAGTGTTTGAGGTTTCGGGTTTGGAATTTAGGGTTTGGGGTTTGGGGGGTCGACGGGGCATTGGGGAGTCAATCCATTCCATATACGTGAAACGACTGATGTTTTTCATAAGCACATGTGGTTTATCTCTTAAGTATGGTGACGACGCCAGGAGGCAGGGCACAAGTGACTTATCTGACAGTCTCCAATTTAGAGATAGCGTCTGGGAGACAGCGCCAGGGATTGTGGCATCTTCGAGGCACTAGTCAGATTTACGAGAGTTGAACCGATCATGGCAAAGACGGCACTTGACATCTTGGTGTTTCTACGCGGGAGACGCGACATGAGGAACTTTGGTGACATCAAGATCAAAGGCTTAGCGGGCTCAGAAGGCATACTTGGAGAGTTTAGAGGGCTTCGAAACCCCAAACCCCAAACCCCAAACCCCAAGCCCAAAACCCAAAACCCCAAACCCCAAACCCTAAACCCTAAACCCCAAACCCCAAACCCCAAACCCTAAACCCCAAAGCCCAAAACCCCAGACCCCAAACCCCAAACCCCAAACCCTAAACCCTAAACCCTAAACCCTAAACCCTAAACCCCAAACCCTAAACCCTAAACCTAGCTTGAGCCCAAGAGCCTCCTCTTCGCATCCCTCTGACCTGCAGGCCATCGCAGCTCTCGCCAGGCCGCTCCGAGGATGGTGGCGAGCTGATGCAGGGCACCCTGAGACCTGAAAGGGCAATTTTTCCATGAAGGTTTCTTCAGTGTTGAGGGTTTAGGGTTTAGGGTTTGGGTCTAGGGTCTAGGGTCTAGGGTCTAGGGTTTAGGGTTTAGGGTTTAGGGTTTAGGGTTTAGGGTACCCTAAAGGGACTGTTCAGAAGGGTAGCCCAATATTTCGGAAGCCCCAAACGGTTTTACGGAACCATCCCCGAAGCACATCGGGGGTAGGGAGGTTCAGGGTCTCCATGGTTTAGTGATGAGAGCTACGTAGGGCCTGTGGTTTCGAAACTGCAGATTCTCGGAAATTAGGGGGATAAAGCGCAGAAACAGCGCTGCACAAGAGAGCCGTAGTTCCAAATCAGGGTACCCTGGATGTCTTAAAGCTCAGGCTATCATTTCTTCGCAGAGGGTACCCTGAACTTAAACCATCCTTTATGGCAAGGCCCGAACCAAGCCAAAACCAGGATTAAGTTATGGAAGGCCCGTTCCCTTAGAATTGCGAAGATTTGCGATTGTAAGTGGCTCAACGTCTTAAGTTCAAAGATCCACGAGGGGCTCGCTTTCTTCGTTTCCTGGCCTCGGAGGGATAGGACTCAATGCAAAGCTAGCCCTGGATTTTGTGAATTCACTGTCCAGGCCCCGACATTGCGGCCCCCCAAGACTGCAGATCCCAGGGTTCAAACCCAAGCTGGTAACTTCTTACGACCAGAGGCCACCTGCGACAAGAACATACCGAGATTTTCGAAGTTAGTGCTGTACGTCTTTGTTCTCCTCGCACAGTTAGGTGTCACCTCTCTGCCGAGCCAGTCAATATCTTAAACGAACTGTTCTCTGACAAAGTGCTGTCGCTTTACCCCTTACACCCTACACACAGTCTCTTAACGGGGTGATAACTGAAACTGGTTCTTAGTAGGGAATGAGGGAAGTAGGTACCTTAAATCCCCCTATACGACCCCTTAGGGATTAATCACGATACCAAGAATACCAAGACAAGGCACCTACTGCAACATCTTTTGTGACTGCCGAGGCTGCTGGAGGAGTGCCTATTGCTGCGCTTACACAGTTCAAAGGCGCGCGTCTCTCCCTCACTCTCCTTTCGCTCGCAGTTGATGGTGTTTGGGGGCTAAGGCTTAGGGTTGAGGATTTTGAGGTGCAGCGATAAGATTTGGGGTTTTGAGTTTAGGTTCGGGTCGGCTGTCGCTCTCTCCTCCTCCCTTCCGCCTCCCCGTCCCCCTCCCCTTCCCCCTCCCCCTCCCGTTCCCCCTCCCCTGCCCC